CCCTCCGAAGCATTTCTGAAGTTTTTTTAGTGTCTTTAGAGAATTTTTATAGCGTCGTAAGAGAGAAAGGTCGATGTTATAGAGCGTAGGGCTGCCAAAACGCACCCTATTTTTTTAAAGCGAATTAATTAAACCTTGCTCCGGAGATTTCTTCACTATCTCCCTCCCTTTTACTGTCTTTCTTTTACTTATATTAATTTGTGCAATAGCTACTAGGGCCATGTAATCATTATCTTTTAATTCCACAAATAAAAGGGTAAAAGCGTCATTTTAAAAGTTTGTTTATAAAATAACTGGCCTATCATAGGGAACCCGAAAGGGGCGTCGTAGGGAAGCTAATACCTTCCCTACATGTAACTAACTCCCTTACCCAACTCTGGTTATAATGGCCAAAGTTGGTTTTTCAAAAACCACTGCCTTCTTTTTTATCCTGTTCCGATGTTTTCGGTAAAAACATCGGTGACAACTCCATAACAACCCCCTCGAAAATTTGCTTTTAGGTCCAGCCCGGATATCGGACAACCTAAAATCTCCCTTTCGAAAACCTCGCCCTTGGGTCTAGCCCGGTTATCGGACAACCTAAAGGCGTTGTAACCCCACCCATATAAAATGCAAAAACGGGAAGTCGGAACCATCGCGTCGCTCCGACCGCCTCTTTTGACGGCAGCGACAATCGTATCAATTTTTAAACAAATTTATTGAAAAATATTTTAATATAATGTATGTTAGAGTAGGAATGAACATGTTATTGATCATATTTGTTTCTTCCTCTTGTAACTTTTTCGTTTTGCTTTCTATTTCATCTTCTTCCATTAAATTTATTTACTATTTTCATTTTATTTTTGGTTTCGCAATTGTTAATTACGTTCTAATTCGCTTTTGTTGTTTATTCATCAATTAAACATAATTTGTTTGGATTTGTTTTTGTAATCGCAAGACAATTCCATTGAAATCAATGATAATCATAAAACAATTTTATGATTGGAGAATTAACATAATTTATGACTATCATGTTCATTTCATTATTTTTACTTCTTACATTTACAGTTTTCATAGATTAAATTTATAAGCTATCCGGGCGCTTTTTGTACATTAACACTCCCTGAATTTACTTACAATCTCTGTTTGTGAAACAATTAAAGAAATGAGGCGCTTTGTGCACAATAGAATCTCTGTTTATAAAATAGCTAGAGAAATATTTATTAAACAACTAAAAAATGAATAAAAAATATATAATATTTATTTCATGTGAATGGCAAGTTTCGAACTTGCACGGGCAGAACCCACAAGATTTCTAGTCATGCCCGATAACCACTCCACCACATCCACTTAATTTTATTAATATTTTGCTAATTATTTAGGATTTTTAAACAACATATTAGAATTTGTTTAAGATAGTTATAAAAATAAATTATTTTAACAATTCATTATATATATAATTTTTTATAATCGTATCAATTTTTAAACAAAATTATTAAAAAATATTTTAATATAATGTATGTTAAGGTGGGGACGAACATGTTATTGATTATATTTGTTTCTTCCTCTTGTTACTTTTTCGTTTTGCTTTCTATTTCATCTTCTTCCATTAAATTTATTTACTTGTTTTCATTATATTTTTGGTTTCGCAATCGTTAATTATGTTCTAATTCACTTTTGTTGTTGATTCATCAATTAAAACTTGATTTCTATGGTTTAGATTTGATTTTTAATGATTCCGAGCGATTATTATACATTATGATCAATATAATTGAGGTTATTAGATTGAATGTCTCATTTACATCACAATTTAACTTCTAAGTTTAAGTGATTGATTCATTTAAGAATTGAGTGAATACGAATCTCAAATGGATTGTAATTGATCGCAAGACAATTCCATTGAAATCAATGATAATCATAAAACAATTTTATGATTGGAGAATTAAAAAAATTTATGACTATCATATTCATTTCATTATTTTTACTTCTTTACATTTACAGTTTTCATAGATTAAATTTATAAACTATCCGGACGTTTTTGTACATTAACACTCCCTGAATCTACTTAGAATCTCTTTTTGTGAAACAATTAAAGAAATGAGGCGCTAGGCGCTTTGTGAACAATAGAATCTCTGTTTATAAAACCCCTAAAAAATATTTGTTAAACAACTAAAAAATGAATAAAAAATATATAATATTTATTTCACGTGAATGGCAGGATTCGAACTCGTGCGGGCGGAACGAACATGATTTCTAGTCATGCCCGATAACCACTCTAGCACATCCACTTCATTTTATTAATATTTTGCTAATTTTTTAGGGTTTTTTAAACAACATATTAGAATTTATTTAAGATAGTTATAAAAATAAATTATTTTAACAATTCATTATATATATAATTTTTTATAATCGTATCAATTTTGAAACAAAATTATTAAAAAATATTTTAAAATAATGTATGTTATGGTAAGGATGAACATGTTATTGATCATTTTTTTTTCTTCCTCTTGTTACTTTTTCGTATTGCTTTCTATTTCATCTTCTTCCATTAAATTTATTTACTATTTTCATTATATTTTTGGTTTCGCAATCGTTAATTATGTTCTAATTCACTTTTGTTGTTGATTCATCAATTAAAACTTGATTTCTATGGTTTAGATTTGATTTTTAATGATTCTGAGTGATTATTATACATTATAATCAATATAGTTGAGGTTATTAGATTGAATGTCTCATTTACATCACAATTAAACTTATAAATTTAAGTGATTGATTCATTTAGGAATTGAGTCAATACGAATCTCAAATGGATTGTAATTCATCGCAAGACAATTCCATTGAAATCAATGATAATCATAAAACAATTTTATGATTGGAGAATTAACACAATTTATGACTATCATATTCATTTCATTATTTTTACTTCTTTGCATTTACAGTTTTCATAGATTAAATTTATAAACTATCTGGGTGTTTTTGTACATTAACACTCCCTGAATCTGCTTAGAATCTCTGTTTGTGAAACAATTAAAGAAATGAGGCATTAGGCGCTTTGTGCACATTAGAATCTCTGTTTATAAAACCCCTAAAGAAATATTTGTTAAAACAACTAAAAAATGAATAAAAAATATATAATATTTATTTCATGTGAATGGCAAGTTTCGAACTTGCACAGGCAGAACCCACAAGATTTCTAGTCATGCCCGATAACCACTCCACCACATCCACTTAATTTTATTAATATTTTGCTAATTATTTAGGATTTTTAAACAACATATTAGAATTTGTTTAAGATAGTTATAAAAATAAATTATTTTAACAATTCATTATATATATAATTTTTTATAATCGTATCAATTTTTAAACAAAATTATTAAAAAATATTTTAATATAATGTATGTTAAGGTGGGGACGAACATGTTATTGATTATATTTGTTTCTTCCTCTTGTTACTTTTTCGTTTTGCTTTCTATTTCATCTTCTTCCATTAAATTTATTTACTTGTTTTCATTATATTTTTGGTTTCGCAATCGTTAATTATGTTCTAATTCACTTTTGTTGTTGATTCATCAATTAAAACTTGATTTCTATGGTTTAGATTTGATTTTTAATGATTCTGAGCGATTATTATACATTATGATCAATATAATTGAGGTTATTAGATTGAATGTCTCATTTACATCACAATTTAACTTCTAAGTTTAAGTGATTGATTCATTTAAGAATTGAGTGAATACGAATCTCAAATGGATTGTAATTGATCGCAAGACAATTTCATTGAAATCAATGATAATCATAAAACAATTTTATGATTGGAGAATTAAAAAAATTTATGACTATCATATTCATTTCATTATTTTTACTTCTTTACATTTACAGTTTTCATAGATTAAATTTATAAACTATCTGGACGTTTTTGTACTTTAACACTCCCTGAATCTACTTAGAATCTCTTTTTGTGAAACAATTAAAGAAATGAGGCGCTAGGCGCTTTGTGAACAATAGAATCTCTGTTTATAAAACCCCTAAAAAATATTTGTTAAACAACTAAAAAATGAATAAAAAATATATAATATTTATTTCACGTGAATGGCAGGATTCGAACCTGTGCGGGCGGAACGAACATGATTTCTAGTCATGCTCGATAACCACTCTGGCACATCCACTTCATTTTATTAATATTTTGCTAATTTTTTAGGGTTTTTTAAACAACATATTAGAATTTATTTAAGATAGTTATAAAAATAAATTATTTTAACAATTCATTATATATATAATTTTTTATAATCGTATCAATTTTGAAACAAAATTATTAAAAAATATTTTAAAATAATGTATGTTATGGTAAGGATGAACATGTTATTGATCATTTTTTTCTTCCTCTTGTTACTTTTTCGTATTGCTTTCTATTTCATCTTCTTCCATTAAATTTATTTACTATTTTCATTATATTTTTGGTTTCGTAATCGTTAATTATGTTCTAATTCACTTTTGTTGTTGATTCATCAATTAAAACTTGATTTCTATGGTTTAGATTTGATTTTTAATGATTCTGAGTGATTATTATACATTATAATCAATATAGTTGAGGTTATTAGATTGAATGTCTCATTTACATCACAATTAAACTTATAAATTTAAGTGATTGATTCATTTAGGAATTGAGTCAATACGAATCTCAAATGGATTGTAATTCATCGCAAGACAATTCCATTGAAATCAATGATAATCATAAAACAATTTTATGATTGGAGAATTAACACAATTTATGACTATCATATTCATTTCATTATTTTTACTTCTTTGCATTTACAGTTTTCATAGATTAAATTTATAAACTATCCGGGTGTTTTTGTACATTAACACTCCCTGAATCGCTTAGAATCTCTGTTTGTGAAACAATTAAAGAAATGAGGCATTAGGCGCTTTGTGCACATTAGAATCTCTGTTTATAAAACCCCTAAAGAAATATTTGTTAAAACAACTAAAAAATGAATAAAAAATATATAATATTTATTTCACGTGAATGGCAAGGTTCGAACCTGCACGGCAGAACCCACATGATTTCTAGTCATGCCCGATAACTACTCTAGCACATCCACTTCATTTTATTAATATTTTGCTAATTGTTTAGGGTTTTTTAAACAACATATTAGAATTTATTTAAGATAGTTATAAAAATAAATTATTTTAACAATTCATTATATATATAATTTTTTATAATCGTATCAATTTTAAAACAAAATTATGGAAAAATATTTTAATATAATGTATGTTAGGGTGGGGATGAACATGTTATTGATCATATTTGTTTCTTCCTCTTGTTACTTTTTCATTTTGCTTTCTATTTCATCTTCTTCCATTAAATTTATTTACTGTTTTCAAATTATTTTTAGTTTCACAATTGTTAATTATGTTCTAATTCACTTTTGTTGTTGATTTATCAATTAAAACTTGATTTCTATGGTTTAGATTTGATTTTTAATGATTCTGAGCGATTATTATACATTATAATCAATATAATTGAGATTATTAGATTGAATGTCTCATTTACATCACAATTTAACTTCTAAGTTGAAGTGATTGATTCATTTAGGAATTAAGTGAATACAAATCTCAAATGGATTGTAATTGATCGCAAGACAATTCCATTTAAATCAATGATAATCATAAAACAATTTTATGATTGCAGAATTAACACAATTTATGACTATCATATTCATTTCATTATTTTTACTTCTTTGCATTTATAGTTTTCATAGATTAAATTTATAAGCTATCTGGACACTTTTTGTACATTAACACTCCCTGAATCTACTTAGAATCTCTATTTGTGAAACAATTAATGAAATGAGGGGCTAGACGCTTTGTGCGAGAATAGAATATCTGTTAATAAAATAGCTAAAGAAATATTTGTTAAACAACTACAAAATGCATAAAAAATATATAATATTTATTTCACGTAAATGGCGAGGGTTCGAACTCGCGTGAGCGGAACCCAAGCACATCCACTTAATTTTATTAATATTTTGCTAATTGTTTAGGGTATTTTAAAAAACATATTAGAATTTGTTTAAGATTGTTATAAAAATAAATTATTTTAACAATTAATTATATATATAATATTTTATAATCGTATCAATTTTAAAACAAAATTATTGAAAAATATTTTAATATAATGTATGTTAGGGTGGGGATAAACATGTTATTGATCATATTTGTTTCTTACTCTTGTTACTTTTTCCTTTTGCTTTCTATTTCATCTTCTTCCATTAAATTTATTTACTGTTTTCAATATATTTTTGGTTTCGCAATTGTTAATTATGTTCTAATTCACTTTTGTTGTTGATTCATCAATTAAAACTTGATTTCTATGGTTTAGATTTGATTTTTAATGATTCTTAGCGATTATTATACATTATAATCAATATTATTATACATTATAATCAATATAATTGAGATTATTAGATTGAATGTCTCATTTACATCATAATTTAACTTCTAAGTTGAAGTGATTGATTCATTTATGAATTGAGTAAATACAAATCTCAAATGGATTGTAATTGATCACAAGAAAATTCCATTGAAATCAATGATAATCATAAAACAATTTATGATTGGAGAATTAACACAATTTATGACTATCATATTCATTTCATTATTTTTACTTCTTTGCATATACAGTTTTCATTGATTAAATTTATAAGCTATGTGGGCGCTTTTTGTACATTAACACTCCCTGAATCTACTTAGAATCTCTATTTGTGAAACAATTAATGAAATGAGGGGCTAGACGCTTTGTGCACAATAGAATATCTCGTTTATAAAACCCCTAAAGAAATATTTGTTAAACAACTAAAAAATGAATAAAAAATATATAATATTTATTTCACATGAATGGCAGGATTCGAACCTGCACGGGCAAAACCCGCATGATTTCTACTCATGCCCGATAACCACTCTGGCACATCCACTTCATTTTATTAATATTTTGCTAATTGTTTAGGGTTTTTTAAACAACATATTAGAATTTATTTAAGATAGCTATAAAAATTAATTATTTTAACAATTCATTATATATATAATTTTTTATAGTCGTATCAATTTTGAAACAAAATTATTAAAAAATATTTTAATATAATGTATGTTATGGTAGGGATGAACATGTTATTGATCATATTTTTTTTCCTCCTCTTGTTACTTTTTCCTTTTGCTTTCTATTTCATTTTCTTCCATTAAATTTATTTACTGTTTTCATATTATTTTTGGTTTCATAGTTGTTAATTTTGTTCTAATTCACTTTTGTTGTTGATTCATCAATTAAAACATGATTTCTATGGTTTAGATTTGATTTTTAATGATTCTGAGCGATTATTATACATTATAATCAATATACTTGAGATTATTAGATTGAATGTCTCATTTACATATCAATTTAACTTCTAAGTTGAAGTGATTGATTCATTTAGGATTTGAGTGAATACAAATCTCAAATGGATTGTAATTGATCGCAAGACAATTCCATTTAAATTAATGATAATCATAAAACAATTTTATGATTGGAGAATTAACACAATTTATGACTATCATATTCATTTCATTATTTTTATTTCTTTGCACTTACAGTTTTCATTGATTAAATTTATAAGCTATGTGTTCACTTTTTGTACATTAACACTTCCTGAATCACTTAGAATCTCTATTTGTGAAACAATTAATGAAATGAGGGGCTAGACGCTTTGTGCACAATAGAATATCTGTTTATAAAACCCCTAACGAAATATTTGTTAAACAACTAAAAAATGCATAAAAAATATATAATATTTATTTCACGTGAATGGCAGGATTCGAACCTGCGCGGGCAGAACCCACATGATTTCTAGTCATGCCCGATAACCACTCCAGGCACATCCACTTCATTTTATTAATATTTTGCTAATTGTTTAGGGTTTTTTAAACAACATATTATAATTTATTTAAGATAGTTATAAAAATAAATTATTTTAACAATTCATTATATATATAATTTTTTATAATCGTTTAGGGTTTTTTAAACAACATATTATAATTTATTTAAGATAGTTATAAAAATAAATTATTTTAACAATTCATTATATATATAATTTTTTATAATCGTATCAATTTTTAAATAAAATTATTAAAAAATATTTTAATATAATGCATGTTTTGGTAGGGATGAACATGTTATTGATCATATTTTTTTCTTCCTCTTGTTACTTTTTCGTTTTGCTTTCTATTTCATCTTCTTCCATTAAATTTATTTACTGTTTTCATATTATTTTTTGTTTCGCATTTGTTAATTTTGTTCTAATTCACTTTTGTTGTTGATTCATCAATTAAAACTTGATTTCTATGGTTTAGATTTGGTTTTTAATGATTCTGAGCGATTATTATACATTATAATCAACATAATTGAGATTATTAGATTAAATGTCTCATTTACATCACAATTTAACTTCTAAGTTGAAGTGATTGATTCATTTAGGAATTGAGTGAATACAAATCTCAAATGGATTGTAATTGATCGCAAGACAATTCCATTGAAATCAATGATAATCATAAAACAATTTTATGATTGGAGAATTAACACAATTTATGATTGGAAAATTAACACAATTTATGACTATCATATTCATTTCATTATTTTTACTTCTTTGCATTCACAATTTTCATAGATTAAATTTATAAGCTATCTGGACGCTTTTTGTACATTAACACTCCCGGAATCTACTTAGGATCTCTATTTGTGAAACAATTAATGAAATGAGGGGCTAGACGCTCTATGCACAATAGAATACACTACAAGAAAAAACACATTTAGCCACCGAAATTAGCGACCGAATTTTTTCGGTCGCTATTAGAGACCAATTTAGCGACCGATTTAATTTTAGTCGCATTTAGAGACCGATTTAGCGACCACTTTAATTTTGTCGCAATTAGCGACCGATTTAGCGACCACTTTAATTCGGTCGCAATTAGCGACCGAAATAGCGACCAATGTGTGTGCGTCGCAAACTTTCGGTCGCTAAATCAATGGCTATTTCATACATAAATAATAAAATCAGTTAGCGACTGATTTAGCGACCGAATTACAAATTGAAATAGCGACCGAATTAAAATCGATCGCTAATGAGAAAATAATCCATGATTATATCTGATTTATTTTTAACTATTTATTTTAATTATTTAAAACAGAGAAACTATAATTTTAGTTTCTAAATACTCAATTTAAAGAATTAGAGTCATTATTATTTAATCTTTTAATTTTAGTATTAAAAATTTAAATTATATTTTATTAAATTAAAATAATTACAATATAATTTTCTACTTTGAGAATGAACAATATAATTAAGAAGATCAAGTGTAATGTTATTGATGCTAATTTTAACAATAATACAATAATATTATTTTCGAAAATGCCCATATGAATGTGAATATTTTGATTATTATTATATAAAATAATTAAAAGAATAAGGTAAATAGAAAAGTAAAATGCATGGTTTATACCACTTTCCTTTTAATCTATAATTAGTTAGGTATGAATCAAATGTAAAGTCTAATGTTATTGATGCTAATTTTAAGAAGATCACCAAATGTAAATTAAAATAATTACAATATAATTTTCTACTTTGAGAATGAATAATATAATTAAACTCAAAATTGAGAATACTCTTATACATTTTGAACTCTTTTGGATAAATTTTGTTTTCCTAATTTTTGATAAAGTTAATTTTAATATTTAAAATTATTTAACATTTTGAATTCTGAAAGGTTTTCTCTAATAGCAAATTAAAAAACATAATATTCAAAAAAATATTTTAAGATTCGAGTCTCGGGTTGTATTTCGCTTGAGCGATACTACGCTCGCTCGAGCGAAATACGATCCTGATCGATCATAATTTGAAATGATCGATCATAATTGGAGGATATAATAGCGGTTCCTCTGTAACCGCTATCTAAAGTGTATATTAGATAGCGGTTAAGGTTTAACCGCTATTATAAGGGCCCTTTAAGAGCGGTTCCAGTGGAACCGCTATCATATACAACCATATTTTAAGATTCTTGAGTCTCGGGTTATGTT